TGAACAATTAATGTCGGATCCCCCAATTGCCCAAGTAAGGCCAGAATACCCCTTCTCAGAAACAGGCTTCAACTAATTCGAATCGCCGTTCAGAGGCAGCCACATTCACTGATCATTATTTCAACTACAATTTATGACCCTGTAACTCGTGGGCCGTCCAGAATAAATCTTAATTTGTGCAATTTGCATACCACAACCATGGAAAGGCTTCCTGTTTCTTCCCCACATATCGGAATCGTGTAGCGCATCTTGTTGTAAGGTTGACATAATATAAATTTGGGACCTTCGACTGGACACTTTGTTGTTCACATTCACGAGATCATGACTGGTCTGATCACAGTCTTATTCAACATCGTAGTGCTAGTTTCGAGCATCCAAGGTAAGCCTCACCCACACTTTATGTCATCCACTAACAAGATGCAAATTCCATATGTGACCAAATGTTGCTTGGACCAATCCGTCGTGAAATTATCTCAGTGTACCAACTTCGCTCTCCTCAATTATACCCATTCACAACCTGTCAATTGGACTCCAAAATGACATGTCAACATTTGCCTGATGGCGTCGAGTTAACTCCTAGTATCGGGAATCGTACACGAATCCCGTAGTGTGCTAACCTAGTTTCCCATAGACCAAGAGTTTTAATCAAATTATGAGATACATTAGCCTAGGTGAAGGTGGCATTTTCTTCGGAAAACGTTAGTGCAGGATGCATTATTGATGGACCAACTCATGCAGATAATTAGATAATTGTGATGTCCGGTGAGACCACTACAATACCTTGAATCCATTTCTGTACCCGGATTCTCTAAGGTCGCGTATTATGTAACCATATTCATGACCATATTCGTTCCCAGCCCGTAAAATGATGACATTTGTGCGCCACACGTGTTCGCTCCAGCGTCACCCCTTTTGTGCACTGCGGTGTTGCAATTCCTCCTTGTCGATGATTGCGTTGGTGATGATTTGCTTCAGAAGGGCTCGGTATATAACTGGCAGTTTTTAATTGGGCAACGTCTCGCTTTTGACACAGAAGCTTAATCAGGCCAAGTGACCGGATCACCAATTTGGCCATGTTTTAAGAGTAACGGAGAAACAAACCGTGAGATGTCTCCATATTAGCGCATTAGATCAGTGTTCAGTGTCAATCAGTGGCCGCTGCCACAATTTTGCGTTGGTCGATTGGGAGAGTTTAAAATTGAAGGGCACAGAAGAAGCTGATCGGACAGCGGATCTAATTGAAGTAATGAACAAACTTCATCAGTTAAAGTGACTTGAAGTGGAAGATTAACGAACCGAAACCGATCAGAACAAATTTGAAACTCCCTCAATCCACCGAAGCACACTAACCGACAAGAGCCGTTCATTGACACTCAAGACTGATCTGGTGTAATAATCTGAAGAGGACTTAATGATTGGTTACCCGTCTGTCTTTTAACCTGGCCAATTTGGTGACCTGCTTATCTGGCCTGATGAGGCTTTTGTGTCCAAAGCCCAAATAAGGGGCATCGATTGTTCACCAAGTCCTTCTGAAAAGATTTTCAAATTAATTCTGATCAGTTTCAGAAGAGCTTGGTAAACAGTCGGTAGTTTTTAATTGGGCAGCGTTCCGCTTTTGACACAAAAGCTTCATCAGGCCAAGTGAGCAGGTCACCAATTTGGCCAGGTTATAGGGCAGACGGGGTTTGGCTCCTTATTCTTCCACTTCAGGGTGCTTCAATCGATGATCCGTTAGTCGTTGTGGGCTTGTGAGTGGTTCGACAATTTATTTGGAGGGAGGAAAGGTGGTTGACGTTAAGTTGAATTGACTACTCTTCCTTCCGATAACCGCACACCACACGCGTCAGCTGGACTGATCCTAAACCGTTCTCACACGCTTGCCAGTTCTACGGCTTATATTCCGTCAACACTTGGATGCTTGGCGGTTTCTTCCGCCTCGGCCATCAGTCTCTGTGACGAGGGCCGTAGTCCTGTGTCCAGTGCGTGTTCCGCAGTTGCCGAGTTTTTCGGTCACCCTCGATATTTGTCTGTATTTCTCGGCGGCCTGTTTATTTTCCTTCCATGCTCAACGATTCGGGTGTTATGTTTTCGTGCCACCTGCCCTACATAGAAATTAATACAGTCAGTAAACTTAATCTTGTGGACATAGGCCTTTGTTCTGTTTGGCGGAAGGCGATTCTCCGATTGTACCAATGCAGAGTCCAGAGTGTCTATTCTGTGGTAAGCTACTCCTATGTGAGCCGTGTTTAGAATCCTTTGAATAATTTCCGATGCCTCTGAACAATTTGTCTCGATAAATACAATTCGGCTTTGTCTTCATCCTGTTTGCCGAAATTGTAGCAAGCAGGCTGTGGTAAAGTTACTCCACATTTATCCGCCGTTCCAGTTGTAATTCGTGTTGCAAAACAGTTAGATTTATGAACAGAAAAGACGATCAACAATTTCACAACATTCTGGGTGTAATTCTTTACATTATCTTCCAGACAGACTTTCGAAATCCCCAGATTATTACTTCAGATAATCCCTGTAGTATTGATAACTACCAAGTGCAACTCAATAGGGATATGAAAAACGATCTACCATGTATTCCAGAAATATTGTATTATTTTTCCGTAAGCAACATCTTCAGCATTTCTCACACTGCCTATATATATCTTCTTGATTTTGTCAGATATATGTTATCTTTCAAAAGATCCCGGGGATTGCAAAGCATCCTTCCCAAGTGTGTACTTCGACAGCGAGTCGGGAAAATGCGAAGAATTCATTTATGGTGGGTGTGACGGAAATGGGAACAGGTTCAAATCTTTCGACGAATTCATTTATGGTGGGTGTGACGGAAATGCGAACAGGTTCAAATGTGAAAAAGCATGTCTGCAGTGACAATAGCCAAAACCGCCAAAAGACCCAGCATCCTTTCCTTGGTGACACAACCAGATGGTGATTAATAAAACAAAACAATTTTCCTTTCGCATTGTGATTTGGTTTGACTGGAGTGAAGGAGCCTAAGATTACGAGTGGACATGAACATGAGACTTCCGGCTGTTTAGGAAGAAGCGATAAAGTAAAACAGCCGGATGTAATATGAATAGCCACAGAGGTATACTGCCAGGCAAACGAATATAAATGTAAACCACGTATGAACAGAAAGGTGGTGACTGGTGAACAGCTAGGTAGATAAATAGCCAGTTAGACAGACGTACATAGGGAGAGACAGATAGGCATATTAATTATTTGAATGGCTAGCTGGTTGACTAGTCAACAGACTGGTTGATTGGTTTGTCGGCTGATTGTTTGATTGCACAATTGCTTCATCGATTGAGGAAAGGTAGTTGTTTAGCTTGACTATTTCATTTGTGTGGCTTTTCAGGTCATCGCCTCTACATGCAACAAAACTCCGTGACATTTCCTGTGGAAATCAGCTCCAAATTCACTTTGGGCTTATTGTCTAAGTTACGTCAACAACTGTGGTACAGCAACACTCTCCATAATAAGTGGCTGGCCTCTCTGAGGACTACATCGCGGTGTCAACTGACGGATTAACTTCTGTACATGATTCGGTTGTTTCAAATCGTAGGCTCAAAATTTCGATATTTTATGTATCCGTTCTGTGCCTCACGTCCAGCGCATGTCCCACTTCCCCGATTCTTCCAGTTTTGAGCAAAACTCAAATCTCTGTCAACCTTGTTTAGCTGTAAACATCTGTCGCTGTCCATCGTTTGAGATCTCTATTCACATATCTGGTATGAACAAGACTAATGACCAAAGTTCTGGTACTGGTGTTGCCACTGGTGGTGAGTATGGTGTGTTAGTGCATGCCAAGAGGCAATTTTATGCGTAGATCTCCCACGGCATCGTATTGGCTTGAACAATTTGTTGAGGCGCCAGCCGCGTTACCAATCTGGGGTTCACCAACAGTAGCGACCATGCTGTCACATTTATTCAATAAAAACAATAGGTGTGTTTACCCAATTTAACACCGAAATAAAGATGATCACGGAATAAGCACCGACTGAGGGAAAAACCTATGCATAACACTGTTGTGCTTTGCATCCCAATTCTAATAGATTTAAGCCCAGCAAACTGTGTCGTAAATATACCTGTGAACATACGCATAATTCATCATCACGAAAGTTTTCGGAACTATAATCAGGTTTGCTCGACGTGGACTGGCTTAGGGCATTGTCAAAAATAAACCACAAAAGTAAGCAATCAGAACAGGTTTGTCATTTGTTATAGTCTCTACACCCGAGGCCACATAGCAGCAGATTTGTTACCTTGATTTACTCCTACTGATCAGCAAGTGAGTGCGGATAATCAGACAGCTCAAATTACTTATGCTCTAGCTGTACACTGAGACTTAAACTAGCTACATGTGATCATGGAGAGCCCGTGGTTGGCTGAATGGGTAGCAGTGAAGAGTAGAATCTAAGGGTGTGAGGCAGAAATAGTACCTTCAGTCGGGTCGTTCTCCTGATTGGAAACTAGCAGGACATCTGAACCCGTCTTCAAAACCTGTGAATGCCCGGTTACTATTACACCAGATCCTAATGAGCTTGTAATTTGCGAGACGTGAAAGAAAACAAACTTCCTGAACTCTGATTGTGTTAACCTGACAAAACCGTGCTGGAAGCTATAAAATGCTGCTGTAAATGGACTGATAGATTAGATCACAGATGCAAAAGTCCTACTGAATTTTGGACTGATAGATTAGATCACAGATGCAAAAGTCATGTTGATTTTTGGGGACGACCCAGCTGATCGATGAGTACAGACGGTGTTAAAGAGCCACAACAGACAACGGTGTACAAGGCAAGTAAATCACTCTCTGACGCTGAAGCCGCCTTGCATTCAACCTGCATCATCCGTCACAACGTCCTATGGACAATCGTGTGTGTTTAGGCACAAAATGCTAGATCGATCTGCCCTATGTCCTTGGTATAGCTACCCTATTCTATCATGTGGATGATGTCATAGAAGGACTTCACGGGTTCCATATTATGAGACATCGGCTGCCATGTTGAACAACGAATTCAGATTGTAATAATTTAGCGATAAGCCAGACCAAAGAACATTTTCAATTTTCTGCAAAACTGTATGACACAAGGATGTGTACTCACACATAGTGCGCTCCCACAGACAACTAGTCACAAAAGCATAAAATTCATGCATCATAAAAAATTCGTAGGTCAATTCACAGTGCCCAAAAGGAACTGCAAACGCAACCTACTAGTGAGAATTTGAGTGCCCACTATCATTTTTGTATTCGAAATACCAGATCACTTGTTTTTGCCACCGGAAACAAAAATGTTTCCCGGACCTAAAATCAAACTAAAGTATATATTTGGTGCAAGATTTCCGGTAAGCACAGTCAGCTCTGACTGTCACCGTAAATAAGCCACCCGACTGTGCCAGAACAAGGATAAAACCGGAACGAATTTCGTCCACTATCAACTGCTACTTGTGCACACTTACTACCCAAGGCAAGAAAGCTATACCGGTGAAGGAAAGAAGGTTTTCGTTGCGGACTTATTTATTGGGAAACACCAACAGAACAGCTACAAACTATTGGACAGGGAAGCGAAATTCTCATATGCATCTTGTTTACAGAAACTGAATATCCACTTTCTCCTTGAACGCGTCTTCCTGAACTTTCCTGGATATTCATTGACTGTTGCTCGAATCAAAGCAAATTCTCTAGAGAAACTCCACAAATTCCGCAACGGATCTCCCTTTTCAAGAGATGCAAAGCGAATCTGTATGACACAAGGATGTGTACTCACACATAGTGCGCTCCCACAGACAACTAGTCACAAAAGCATAAAATTCATGCATGATAAAAAATTCGTAGGTCAATTCACAGTGCCCAAAAGGAACTGCAAACGCAACCTACTAGTGAGAATTTGAGTGCCCACTATCATTTTTGTATTCGAAATACCAGATCACTTGTTTTTGCCACTGGAAACAAAAATGTTTACCGGACCCAAAACCAAACTAAAGTATATATTTGGTGGAAGATTCCCGGTGAGCACAGTCAGCTCTGTCACCGTAAATAAGCCACCCGACTGTGCCAGAACAAGGATAAAACCGGAACGAATTTCGTCCACTATCAACTGCTACTTGTGCACACTTACTACCCAAGGCAAGAAAGCTATACCGGTGAAGGAAAGAAGGTTTTCGTTGCGGACTTATTTATTGGGAAACACCAACAGAACAGCTACAAACTATTGGACAGGGAAGCGAAATTCTCATATGCATCTTGTTTATAAATACTGAACATCCGCCTTTCTCTCGAACGTGTCTTCCTGAACTTTCCTGGATACTCATTGACTATCACCCAAATGAAAATGAATGCCACAAAGCAATTCCACAAATTCCGCAAGAAATCTCATATTTCAATAGACGCGAAAAGGATTTACGAGAAACCACAAGATAGTCGTAAGCCTCCTCAGTAGTATCCACCGCTACACTGGTATAAATCCCGGTAACCGTTAATGTTACTTGTCTTAAACTATAAATCACCGCTCTCCGTTGTGAAAAATTTGCATGTCACAAGAGCCTTCTTAGTGAAGAGTCACTTTGGTATCAGTCTTAATTAAGAATGAACCTGAGTACCATCCTGAAACATTCCTGGAACACAGAGGAGAACAATCGAAAAATGATGCTAGTGAATACGGATCTCCATATTTTTAAATCTACATGATAGATAAGTGAAAGTCAGCAGGAAACGATTAGGAACAGTCATAGGGTGTTGCATTGCGAAAAGAGTAAAGGGCACGCTGTATAAACGAAATTTCGATTGCAGTCAAAGTTGCAATACAAAAGGTACTCTCAATGAACAGTCATTTAATGTATTCGAATAAAGATAACTAAAGTTCAGTGACATTCCGAGCAACACGAGCCATTAAGTGATACGTAGAATATTATCCAAGCTGAATGTGATATACCACGTGTACCACTTGTATCCAGTTGCTGCAAGCGTCTCGTCAGTAGCAGTGAAACGATCTTATTCCGAAGAACCATGTTCCCGCCTCTCGGACTAACTTGCTTCTAATCGCCCACATTCACAGGCTAGCATCACCAATATTTACTCTCATGGTTGAATCAGGAGCATCCAATCTACAGCACAAGAGCCACTCTAAGGTTCCGGTTCTGGGGGATGATGAGAATATACAGTGAATTTGGTTGGAAGTAATTGCACCATACACCTCTAAAAAATGTCGTAAAAATGACATGCTCGCTGTCATATTCGCCACACTACCCCATTTTCACCCGGTTATGAATTTGTCTATTCGCAATTTGGTTCAGAATCTGATGCTTTTGAATGTTTAGCAATCCCCTGTGAAGGTCTGGATGATGAACGGATTCGTGTCGGAAATCCAGTCAGGATTTTGTCTGTTCGAATTTTTTGGCCGGATGTGCAAATGGCGTATTACCATGTCTGAATATTGGGCAAGCTAAACTAGTTGCCCTTAATTTATCGGAGACCTCCGAATGAGCGGTGGTCAACGTCCTCGGACTGATGGCACTTGAAAAGTCCCAAATTAGTGACTTTGAGAGATACCAGACACATCGTCATACTCTAAAAGTAAATTGAAGCCCCAAATCGATTCTTAAGCTTATGGTTACAAATGTTCGAAGCGGAACTGGTCTAGAACCATTGCGACTTGTAACGGGGTGGACAGGGTATAATAAAATATTCAGGCCGACCGCGCCGCAGAATGACTATACACATACTTCAGGATACAATGATTATTACCGGTGAGAGATCAGTTTTAGTGGCGCAACTGATAGAATATGCAGCCAGGTTGTAGAATTTTCCCGGCG